ATCATCATCTAATCATAATCATCATCTAATCATAATCATCATCTAACCTGGTGACAGTACTGATAATACGGAAGAGAAGTGGAGCTGCCATTACAGGTTCTCGGTGAACAAACGTTTCCAGAGCAATCATACACAACGATAGTGTTTCTTCATCAAAATTTCCAAGTAATTCATTGCAATAACCACATCGATATGCACGTTTATCCATGATCACGTTATTTGTTGCTATAAATATAACGCACGTTTATTCATTATGTTATTTATCATCATAAATATAACGTCATGATTACGTTATTTGTTGCTATAAATATAACGCACATTTATTCATTATTATGTTATTTATTATCATAAATATGACGTACGTTTATTCATGATTAAATTATTTATTGCTATAAATATATTAACCTCGATTTATCGCTCGATTGACGATAATATCATATAAATTAATTGTTTCTATTTTGTGAAATAAATTTTCAAATCGATAATAAATATCCGACAAATTAACTTCGCATTCAATTGCATTCTTTTGCAATAAGAACTATTTATGCTAAATTAATGTTAAACTAATTAATGTTAAATTATAAATTATTGCAAAGAAACTTTTCCAGAAATGATGTTTTGTTCGATTTGATTGCTTTTTTTCATCAGCTACACTTTCTTCTTCAATTACCTCCAATTTTCCTTCGTTTACCTGAAGGAAATGATAGCTTCATTGTCACTCAAATGCATATAATTAGTCTTTAAATTGTCGTTCACTATTCTCAAAGATTATATACATTATATTTCAATTATCACTTACAATACAATCCACATAATAAGTTCATAAATATCATCTAATAGAAGCGGAATTTGCAATAAAATATTTTAAATTCTAAAAATTTTCCAATTTCAATTTCACTTGCAAAATATTTGTTGAGTTTCAAATTATATGTGAGCTAATTTATCCTTTCATTTTTTAACTCGGCAATTATTTGAAATTCTTTTTACTATGAATTTATGAATATTTCTCCTTCCCATAACTTACATCAACAACAGAAGTAGGTTGTGAGCACAGAACAGTGAGTGTCTCAGGTCGATGCAGCTTATCAGCGCCACAATCACCTTCTAAGTCATCGTCATCAGAACTTGATAATGGATCCATTTCGATTTTTGCAGGTGGTGCCCTCATATTACAAATATGAACCTTAAGATATTTTAATAAAATTAAAATTATAAAAAATATTGGACAAAAAAAAAACAAAAAGTGTAAAGTTTAAAATTAAAATAACTTTAAATTCACTCAAGAAAACAGTAATTCGAAAAGAAATAAATGGGATCAATAAATTACCTCAGTTTCAAGGGTACAGATAATTATTAAAATAAGTTTTCGTAAATATTCGCTGAGAGGTGGCGTATCGTATCGATACTACAAAGATATCATATCAGTACTGATCCATATATTGAATGACAGTCAAAAGTACATTAAATAAAGAAAAGAAAAGCTTCAAAGGAGCGCGAAACAAATTGAATTAAAAGTCACAAAAAAAATATTACATGAGTAATTAACTAACTAATTAAAAAAGTAAGATAGTAGACAAAACAGAAACAAATAAGATTTTCTATCTGTTAAATTCATTGTTCGTTGTATAATAAAACTATATGTTTACATTAAAGACTTGATAGCTATCAAATTTTAATTTAGAAATTAATTTTCTTTCACGTTACACGTGAAAAATCTTTAAAAAAAGTAATCATTCATGTGAAAAATAAGTTCTCACTTTCTTTCTAACTTATCTAAATACCTATCACATATATTAATTACTCCAAACGAATAAATTTAATTGCAGAAACCTTATAAAGTATAAGAATAACTGAATTGAGCCAAAAATGTCGAGCGTTATTGTCCAATAAGATAAGTGAATATTCCGCCAGTGGTTGATCACCGGCTAATTTTTGAGGAGATGGCAAATAAAGTAGAAGTTGTATGCCAAGCATCACAATCTGTAACATATTTAATCAAACCTTTTCGAATTAATTTTTGTAAAAATTTATTTTTTTAATATTGACTTTAGCCAAGATAGTAATAGTAATTCTTGAATAGGCTAAAATTATCAATTCTATAAGATAACAATGGCTTAAAAAATAATGCTATTTTCTATTGATTGGATGAAACTAAAATGGTATTAAATTTCAAGTATTGTTAATTTCAGTTAATATAAAAATATTTCATATTAACATTAAAACGGATATTTTATTAAGTATTTTAAATTAGTTTATGTTTTTTTTAAAATTTTTTCATATTATTGCGGACTTTAAAATCATTATCATTCATGTACCTGATTTGCTACTACCAAATTAGAATCCAAAATTTCCGGCAAGCCACTTAAAAAACTATTGCATACTGCTGATTTCCTGAAATATTCATCGCTTTTTGGCTTAAATATAAATGTACTTTTTTTTCTTTACTTATTTATAACACTGAATAAACTCAATTTGAAGTTAATTTCAATTCATTTCATTAACAAATTTATTGTATCTTATTTGCATAGCAATAAAATTTGCTAAGAAGTTTTTGTAAAAAAAATTAAGTTTAAATATGTATATATGAACAAACCGTAATATCTTTGGTGATATGGTAAAGCATTTCTCGGAGTTACTGTAACCAATGAGAGCATTGAAATGTCGAAAAAGTAAACTTTGCTTCTTAGCGGTTGCTTTTTCATCACCACTTTTCTTATTTTTACAAAGGAATGATACGAATAGCGAAACTGTCAAGTAAACGATATGTCGTTCCGGATTATCGATATCAACCACTCGATTCATTAATAAACACATATTGCTCTCATCATCCGTAAATTCTCGTAAACGCGAAAAATTTCCTAAAGTTCAATTATATTTTATTGGTAAATGAAAATATTGAAGTTTTATTTTCATTGGTCAAATTTGTAACAGTTTCTAATTTTAAATTATGATTTTCTTTGATATGTTTTTTAATATCATAAATAAAATTTCAATATTTTCATTTAGCAATAATATATAATTGATAATTTAAAAAATCATAAATCATACTGATTTCATATTCCTTACTATAATTTCATAACATTGAATATTTATTTCGATAATGTTGCAATAACATAACAAAAAAAAAAGTTTGAAAAAATTAATCACTAAATTTTGAAAAGTAATTGAAAATTAATTCGAATGCAACAAAAATTCAAATATTTGAAAAAATATTCGGCAGGATAAAGCATACCGCTATTATGCGATGAATAATGCATTGATTCTTTCATTTCTTCCGCTGAAAAGAAAAGAAAAAAGGAAATTGAAGTAAATAAGAATTTGAAAAAAATATGGGAAAAAAAATTTGATGCAAAGGGATAATACAATTATTTTTCAGGATAATTGCACAAAATGGAAATGTATTCATTTGGTCTAAACAAATTGCAACTGATAAGTTTTAATTCACTGATAAGTTTGATATGAACCGTTGAAATTATTGAGCAATTATAATGAAGTATTAATTAAATTTATATTTTAGAACTATCTAGAAGATCATAATAAAAGAAAGCAAAATTTGATTAAAAATTTTTAGGTCAAACTTTGCAATTTCAATCAATTAAATAGTTCTAATTAAATTTTTGCTTTCATTTATTTGAAAAATTCTTTTTTTTTTTTTGCAAGTGTGAAAGGAATTGTTATGATTTCCTTTTTTTGCTCAATTAAATTATTTCATACTTATGAAATCATACAAACACATACAATGATAGCAGTGATCGAATGGGAATATTTCGGATAGAACGGAAGGTGAGATAAAAATTGATTTTTAAAATATTATTCCAAAAATAAGATTTCAATTTCCAAATAAAATTCAAATGATTTTTTTTTTTGTTTAATTTTATTACATCATATTTTAATGGCAGGTTGAAATTAGGGATAAAATTTGTGCAAATGGATGAATATTGTAGTGCATTGGTGGATAAACACGTATGGGGTTACATTCAAGGATATGATAGTGATAGTGATAGTGATAGTGATATGATAATATGGATGATGAGGAGGACATACTATTCGTAGAACAAGCCACAGCTGAGACGGCATTTGTAAATGATTGCAGATGCTTGGAGAACTTCCAGGCAGAGATAATTTTAATGACTGTAACCAAATGACCAATCTTCCTTCTACCACTGATGAACGCATTTGTACGTCTTTTCATTTCATCATATTTCAATTCAGCAACAATTTTCCCTTCAGTTAATCAGCTACCAATTAACTATTAGTTAATTCTAATTTCATTTCTAAATTTTAACCTATTTATTATTTTACGAACTACAGTAATCTCTCATTATAATTTACTATAATGTATTTCAAATATCATAATAACAAAGTTAACTTATAAATTGGATTAAAAAAAAGCGTATTCATCATAACTATGACGAATTTTTCAAATATTTATAGCAGCATACATTATAATAAATTATAATGAGATTACTGTAGTTCATAAAATAACATATTATGAGAATTCGTCTAGAATATTATGAAAATAGAAAAGTTTTGCTGGATGCAATTCAAATTTTACTATATACTTTATTCTAGAAGATAACTGATTAAAATGCAATCAGATTATTTGGCATAAAGGAAAATGAACGATATTATCATTGAAAAGAAAGATTAAAATTAATAATGAACAATTTTTAGCATATCAATATACGATAAATGTACCATTATTACAGGATGATTTCTGAAAACTGTAGTCTGAAATTGTTCTTAATTCATTCTTATAATTGATTAAGATTGATAAGAATGATACGGTATTTTGAGTGGAACAGAAAAATAAGCACAATGATGCAAAATTTCGAAATTCAATTTTTTCAAGCAAAAATTCATTGGTATTATTTTTAGTTTCACTAATTTTTGGTACTTACATATTCTTTTGAACTAATTTCAAGAATTAACAATTAGCCATAACTCTATTATTCTATTTAAGCCAAATTTCTTATGGTCACTTACATTCGATTCATTAAATTTTATTTCATTTACAATTTTATTAGCAAATTTCATGAAAAATTTGTACTACGTGAAAGATAAAAGAAAGTGTTATAAAACAAAATGATGAAATTTTTCACTCTAATAATCATTACTTAATTACTTGTAAGATTCGTTTATTTTTATGTAAAATTTGAGTAACATACATGATGATCGAAATGTTGTTGCACTGAGTTGATGCCACATTGAATTGATTTGTAAGGTTCGAACAATTGATCGAGCATTGGAACTATTCTCGATAATTTGACGGGCACGACTTACTTTTCGTTGATACAATTCACTCAACGGATCCGAATGAGTTAAATCTGAATTGCAAATCAATTTTAATTTAAATTTATATCTTTCTAATTTCTACTCAAATTCTGTTACATTTTTTTCTTCCTTTTCAAAATCATTCATTTCAATTCGAAATATATTCAATATATTTTAAGAGTAAAGAATAAAATAAACAATTTAATAGGAAAATTATTTTCCATTCAGCTGTTTTATTTGATAAATGTACGAAAAACAAGAAAAACCGATGATATTTACAACAATAAACATCAAGGTGTGAATTAAATTAATATTGATCTCTCGTTTGAACTTTCCGATTCATAAGTATCGATGATAACCTATACATTATCGAATGAAAGATATCATAAAATTTGAAACACTCAAACACAAAAAAAAAAAATCCTTCACTCAATAAGTAATGCTAAGAAACAGAAATAAAAAAAAGGAAAAATGAGATAATGAATTATATGAGAAAAAGAAATGAACCGTGGATAAAGTTCGATTCGCCATTCTTTACCAGAAGTTGACCTTCGATAGCAAGTTCTTCAAATCGTTGGATGAAAAATTCCCATGTGAGAATTTCCTCATCCGGTACGATTGATGTAAGCTGTTGAATTCGAGTGATAATCAATGCTCGATCCAGAATTGAACTATCAAATTGCGCTTCCAAACAAAGACACATCAACTACAACAGTTTCAATGAATAAATATATTTTAAATTCCAAAATTTAAAATTACCTACTTTTTTTCAATTTCGAAATTTAACTTTGTTACATGTTAAACAGTTATTATGGATTACAAGAAAGTTTTCAATCAAAAATTTTCAACATTTATTT